CAAAAAATACTCTTTTTCGAAAAATTGTACACGAACTCATTTCAAGACCTGTCGAACAAGTAGTAGTCGCGAGGCACTCAAGCTTTATTAATATATGAATAAATATGTATGTCTAATATAAAACAAGCAATAATATACAATTAGCATAAGTTTAAAAATACAATAGTATAACATTTTACAAAGTAACTTTTCGAACTTTCAAACTTACACATTTTTTATCATACTTTCTAAATTAACATTGTTGCAGATTTCACTTTCAGTTGATAACATCTCTTGATCTGTTAATCATTCTTGTGACATGATTGATCGTAGGAAGTGTATAATAATTTTTAATTTTGAAAATTTTTCTCCTGTGGCCACAGTAAATGGCAAAGTTAATAAAATTTGCGTTATCACGGTAATATTAGGGAATCCCCCGGTTAGTTTATTTTGACATATAAATTGTAATACTTCAATTGGTGAAGAACTTGATTTAAGACGTTTCGTGATTACATTTAATTCATCTTCAAGTTCTATTGCTTTTATATTTTTTCGATTATCTGCATCAGTTTCATCGGTCAGTTTTAATTCTAGATCCATTAATTCTTTTAAAGCCAGATTTACTCATCTCTGCTAGTTTGTTGAAGTCATTAAAAAATTAAACGTATCATTTTGCTCTTTAAGCAATTGAGACCTTTCCTCAATAGATGAAACTTAAAGTCAATGATATTATTAAAAAATGTGTTCGGAAATTGTCTTTTGGATCGTTTGTACTCCCATCGTCATGTTCGGAAGCGAACATAGTTTTCTTTTTCGTCTGCGTGTAGATGGCGGGAAATCTGCACTCGTATTAGCAAGCTCGGTTTAGCAAACTCAGATCTAAAGTTAAGCATTTCATCAAAATTATTGCGATATGTCTGAATGTTTGTTTTAAGAAGAGCTAAATTTTCGACACATGATGAAGTAGGTAAATCAGGACGTTGCAACATTTTCGAGACGATGTTCACTGACGATAATGATTTCATACCAAATAACAAGGGACTAAAGAAATATTAAAATATTAAACACAGCAATATTTTGAGTTTTCAATTTAAAAATATGTACTTAAAAATTAGCAATCCTTTTTCTGATGTGAATAAAACTTCTTTGTTAGATTTTTGAAAGAAAATCAAGTTTTGAGTTTTTTTATTTAATATTTCTTCACTTTTTTAAACTTTTTGTTTTCTCGTTTGTGACACTCTTCTCCACCCAATCGTTTTCACCTGTTACTCATATATACAATTAATTAAATATATGAAACGACTTAGAGAACAGTTTCTGCAAAAAATAGATCGAAACTGATTCGAAAAACGCCTGTTTCGATGTTCAAGTGCCTTATCAATTACTGAGTTTTAAACTACCATCGATCATTTAAACAATACCGCCCTACAAACTGTTGTTTATATCATGAGACGAGTGAAATGTGAAACTTTTGGTATCTATGGTTGTACTTCTACCTATTTTACTAACTCACATGGATATAAGTGTATTGCTCATTGATATGTGTTACAAATTTTGTTTTGTTTCATTCAAAGTTTTAAATAAGAGATAATTTTTTGCGACCCTGCACCTCACGAACCAGGGCCACGACGGCGCTGATTCGTCGGGTACTAATTGGAGAAACTACGGAAAACAACAAATCAGAGCAGCTGGTCACAAGAATTCTCATACAAAGCGGCTGAACTCGACCTACCTCTCTAGTCAGTGTTGAAAATTCCTCCACCATCGGGATTCGAACAGTGTAACCTCCCGTTCAGAGGCGCTGCAGAGGCAGCAGCAATGCTGTCTTTGAGCTAAACTCGGTCGGTACTGCTGAAATTTGATATCTGACTTTGGTATCAGCCTGGAACTTAGTATCAAACAAATAATTCCTGGATCCTGGAGTCAGTGTTCAAAAAATTTGTTAATGAAAGTCAGTGCCTATAAAATTGAATTGAGTCAATAAGTTTGCAATTGATTCCACAGCCTTCATATTTATAACACTAAAATATCTTTTCATATTTGCCTTGTGATCAGGTCACACGTTTTCAAAATCTTCTGTCTGAGAAGTGTTTCATCTCGATTCACGTGTATGCGTAAGTGTGTCGTACAGACTCAAGGTTTCATGTAGATCGCGAAAGCTGTATTCAAGTCGTACTAGTTCGCTAATGCAAAGGGAAGCATGGTTATAGGGATGCAGTGAGGTTAGGTTAGGTTACGTTGTATCATGAAGGACTGTCACGGTAGAACTTTAGTCTTCACACCTCGTTTCCCATTACAAATTTCCCGCCAGTAGTCTAATTTCTATATATCTCCTATTCTTCGTCACAGTAACGTACTTCACCTATTTTAGTCACTCGTGTTCACTTCACATTATGTGGTTTTGAAGCTGTTCTTTCATTAAATTTTATCCAACTATTTTGAATAATTTAAACATTTACTGGCTAAATCGCATATTAGCTAGATTCGGACATTAGCCATAGAATATTTGACTATGAAAATATCTGTTGGCTATCGTGAAAAATATGGTACTCAATTTTTACTTTCTTCAAACGGAGTAGAGCGAAAGTTATGTAATGCTGCGTGAAAAAAAATCAACAGAAAATCTCTTATTACAGCCCTGTAATAAGAGATTTTCTGTTGATTTTTTTTTTTGATAAATGAAAAAATGAAATATAATGACGGCAAAACTTCTATCCGTCTGTGAACAAATCGTTCAGTCGATTTTCTCTAAAATTGATATTTCTCAATCGATCTAGCTGATGTCGCGATCCCTTGAATGTGAAACGGATATTTCAATTTGGGGGGGGGGTTACTTTACATGAAGCCCCTGGGTTATTTTCCACATTAAATTTGTTTTCTAAAAAAAGATGCTTCATAGTTTTTATTAAATTTTGTTGTTGGATAGTGTGAAGGAGAGAGAATGGTGCAGGTCTAATTTTCGTTAAAAACCTGATTTTCCGAAAATTACAAACGTTTTTTCGGAATCTTCTTACAACCTTAAAAATAGCTTTTGAAATAACAGACATGTACACTTTTTCGAAAATTTGAGTGCTTTTTGCGTAATTTTGCGTGAAAATACGGGTGGTAATTTTGCGTGAAAGTACGTGCTGTTTCAGCACCACTAGTTACAATCTTTTTGTCAGCGAAGCAGGTGTGTCGGTAAGCTTTCAGAAACAGTAAATGCACTGCATACATACAATCAAAATAAGAAGTTGCTTAGGGCCTAGGTGGTGTAGGCCCACATGCAGCCCGCGGTGCCATTTATTGTGGCTCGCGAAAGGTTATTAGTCAAAAGTGAAGGTCCCTTGCATTCATGTCGGGCGAGAACATTGTGCATCTAGTGCTTGCGCCCAGCCGGGATCAACACCACGTCAATGTAAAAATAGGTCAAGTTTAGATTGAAAGATTTTTTCCAGTAAATTCAGAAACTCGAAATCACCCCAGTGTATTTCACTGCCTTATGTATGGTAAGGCTTCATGCATGGTTCCATTTTTCCCTCCCCCGTTTCGGAACAGCCCGGCAAACTCACGATCTACAATACGGAGAAGTCAGGTGTGGATCGCCCAAATAATGGAAATGGCCCGCAACCAAATTAAAAGTTTTAGTCGTGGCCCTTGAATCTTTGCAAGTTGGGCACTCCCGATTTATAATAAATACATTTTGTGAAAAGTAGAAAAGTTTTCTACCGACAACTGTGATTCTTACTGTAGAAAATATTATGTTGTCCATAAATTACTTTACTTTTATATCGGAAAGGTGATTAAGTGAAAACATTTTATCAAGGTGCGCCGTGTTTACTTCCGGTTGAGATAATGGCATAGATTGCAGAACTCGTGACACTGCAATGGGTAAAGTCATGTATATTTGAAAACTCGTTATGGAATTTTTTTTATCGACGAAGCACTCTAACTTTAAAAGTAATTGTGCATTGTCAAGAGTACCTACATACAATCATTTCTATAAAATAACATTCCGTATCGTTTTATTTCTTCTTTATCTTGCCTTTAAATCTCCGTTTTCTGAATGAATTTCCACTGATGCCGAATTCTTATCGTTGTCATCAAATATCCATTTGTTAACGTTTTTTTCGTCTCCTACATGGGAGTATTTTAACTGAAATTTCGTCATTAATATTGATAATAATAATAATGATAATAAAATAATAATAATAATAATAATAATAATAATAATAAACAACTTATGAGATAAAAATGAGGGTTTGTCGCACTTTCTTTCTTCAACGAATTTAAAAATGTGGCAAATTAGTAATACAGTAGTTGATAAAACTTCAAACTCAAGCGTCGTAAATCCAGCCGTAGTCTTCGAGAGTAAGGAGAATATTCAATGTAATTTTATTTTGAATCGATATTTTTATAATTAAAACTATAATTTACTTTTTTTTTTTTTTTTTTGCATACACACCGGCTCGTAATTACATTTTTCAGGTTCAATAAAAAAGTACGTATTTGCAATTGCCCTAGCTCGGATATTTATCATATAAAAGAAATCCACGTAAAGTAATGTTTCGTTTTAAAAATTATGTCATGTTATGTTTTGTATATTGTGTATTTTAATGCACTATTTAAAATCTTTCCAAAACAGCTTACCTCAATGAAACAAATTTACATCAATATTATTTTCAAATGAACAAATATAATTTTTTAACGGAGTTCTAAAATGGCTTGAGAATTCAGTCATTTCTGCTCAATTTCAATTGTTTAATTTTACATCATAGGAAATCATGATACAATTCTTTACAGTTCTAAAATGTTTGTGTGTTTTCTACTACTCATCCTCCAATAAATACCCTCAGAAATAAATTTACTAATTCAATTGCAGTATAATACGACAATTTCAAGAAAAATAAAGGTTGCTTGTTTTTTTTTACTGAATAAGAGACTGAGAAATTTCTTTTATCTTTTGCGATAACTACTGCACTTTTTATTCTTCCCGCTGTAATGTTTGATTCTTTCTCGTGAGATTTCGTTCACGGTTCACTTTAAGATTTGAGATCAATTTCTCTTTATCTGGCTCTTCGCAAGCAATGCTCTTGGCTAGCACCTTGGGTGTGTGCTGTAGCTCAACTCGTACTCTTCGTACTACAGTAGTCTCTGCATTGGTCTAAACTCTTTGAAACTGCGAAGTATTGTTGCTGGTATTGCTGGTGAAGTGGATCAGTTGTGGGCTGGTTGTGGGTGGACTGAACTGCAGGGAGTAGTAAATGGGTTGGAAATCGGCAGAGCGGTACCCTTTTATCTCGTGTTAGATTAGTGTTTCTGCTGGAGTTCTCATCGAATAGTCGTGCAACTGTATACTAACTGCGAGAATGGATAGACGAAAGTTGTCGTAAGTATCGGTGGAACCTGTGTGATATCATACGGCCATGATCGTATGAATACTTTGGAGCTGTAATGCATAAAAATGTTCAAATAATGAGTTGGTCTCTGTTAGGATTAACTATTTTTCTAGACACTTTGTTTAGTGTGTGCCCTTGAAATGGAATTGTTAAATAAGATACTGTAATTCTTGAAAATTTTATACCTGTAATGTGTGTTGCAAATTGTGCGTGGGTTTTGAACATGTTCGTAGTTAGATCGATCGATTTTGTTTGCACGCAAGCCGAAAAGAAAGTAGAATATGCTTGACATTTTCTGGCCCAAGTTTATAAAGATAAGCATGCGAGTGACAACACAGTTTTACAATGTACCTTCCCCATAGTCTGTTGAAACCGTCGTTCGCCAGCGGCGAAGCTGTTGTAGTTGATCAATGATTTGTGCACTTTACTGCATTGTGTAGCAGTAATGTTGAGTTTTGGCACGCTAACTGGTACGTCTTGCGTGATGCGTTTATTGATGTAATCTGTGCCCCAGATACGATGTACGCATGTTCAGTTCAATGCCTCGAACGGTTTGGACGAATTTGTTTATAGAAATAAAAATATTTAGTTCTCACATCGTGCCTTTCCATTTACCATTATTTTATTATTCCGAGGATTCACCAGAAATGAGAACTTCAAGAAGAAACGTAACCATTTTTGACATTTAGAAATTATTCAACATTAAATAAAATGATCAAATTAATTCCGTTATTGTGAATGAAGGGGTCTTTAATCTCAACATTCTTTCTAGCAGGCTGCACAACTTAAGAAACAAATCAAAATGGCGAAACGATTTTTTATAACTAAAATTGAAATGCTAGATAATTTTGTGTGTAGTGAAGTAATCCTAAATTGTATGTATTGGTATATTTTAATATATATTAAAAGTCCATCAATAACAATATTTTATTCTTTTGAAAGGTGGTGTGTGAAATTCATTTAAATAAATACAAATATATCAATAAACAATTGTTGAATTGTGAGGCTGTAATGTTTGTCAATAAATTTTTAAAATTATATATTTCAGGACATCTGGTGATACATTATATGTAATTTTGGGTCTGCCTAAAACAGCCACTGCAGATGATGTTAAGAAAACATATCGTAAACTAGCCCTCAAATACCATCCTGACAAGAATCCTAATAATCCAGAAGCAGCTGAGAAAGTAAGATATTTTGTAAAGTTTATCTTCTTGTTCTTCAACTGTTTTACAATAATTTGTTACAGTATACTCTACTTCTTTTCAGTTCAAAGAAGTGAATCGTGCTCATAGTATCCTTAGTGACTTGACCAAGAGGAACATCTACGATAATTATGGATCGCTTGGTTTATACATTGCTGAACAATTTGGTGAAGAGAATGTGAACGCTTATTTCCTTGTTACATCAGGGTGGTGTAGAGTAAGTTTATTTGTGACAAATGCACTTTGGAAACCATTTATCGGCTCTTTTGTTCATATAGCCTACATGGGGGGGGGGATGCAGTGTTTCATACTCTTTACAATGTAATTGATTGATGCTGGCATATTATTGAACAATTTAACAAATCTATCATTTAATTACACATAATTAAACCTTTTGTTTGCCCTCCCCACTCCCGACATTGTGGAAGACTTCTGGCATCTCTGGTCTTTTAACACAATTGTTGAGGTTCTGATTTTGTAAGTTAGGAAAGCATTAAGCTATGTTAATTGCAATACACCATGAAAGATTTTGATGATTCTCAAAGACTTTTGCCACTTTGCACTTGGTTCTTTAGGGAGATAAAATCTTGCACAAATGCTTGATGAGTTAAATATTTTTGTTTTATTTTTGCTTCTAGTGAAGACTGTTAACTTCCATTTTAAATATTACAACAGAAACTTTCTTCAGTCTTCTCTTTCGGATTATTCCCAAATTCGTTGCTTCTTGTTCCTTATCTTACTGCACTTTTTTATATTGACACTTGTTAGTTAAGATCAAAGCCATCATGACAGAAAATTATTGGTCTGTGTAAAATTTCTATTGGATGCCTGTTGTATCTTCTTCAGTGAGTTTTCCTTTCTTTCACTAGTTCTCTAATCTGCTAAAACAGAAATATTATTTTCGTATATACGTTTCATGATTTCTAAAAAGCATAGTTTTCTTCAAAATAAAAGCGAGTTTAAAAAATTTTAACTCTGATATTTTTTTTAGAATTAAATATATGTATAATAAAAAAGTACTTATTAGATGCAAAATTTATTAAATTGCCCAATAATTGTCCCAAAATATTTCTTAAGAGTTATTATGTCCCATAATCATTATTAGAAATAATTTCTTTACAATTTTAACTCTGGTCTTGAATAATTTGTTAAATGTAGGATATCTTTCATACTCAATTTAACTTTAGCCCTTTTTTAAAAATTTTTAAATTTTTTTTATATATTTATTTGCCATAAGATTGTATTTAAGTTAGCAATATCACCCAAATAGTGTAAATCATTTCATTGTTATTTACGTTGAAATAACAGTAAATAAAAATTATATGTAGTACTTTACACTTTTATATTAGTGAAGATCATTTCAGCTTTTTATAGGTAATTTTTTTATGCTTTATTTAGGAAAAAGTTAACCAAAGATATTCCAAACTTTTGTACCTTTTTTTGTATTGCGAGTTCAAATAATTCAAAGCTACTTTTTTCCTCTCTCAAAAAGCTATTTTATAAATTTTTTCTCTCACCTTAGTTAATAAACTTGCATTTTATTAATTAAAAGATAATAAACTATAAAACATGTTTAATTTGGAGGAAAAAGTAGTGAAAAAAGTTCTGTTGTTTTAAATTGGGAATTAAAAATATCCTTTTGTTTAAACACCTTAATACTGTGGTTAATTTCATTAATTTTTTACTTGAAACACTCACCTTAAAGAAAAAGAAAAAAGAAAAAAAAAGCCTTTTTAACACAAGTTTTGAATATGTTGATTTAGAGTATTTTTGGAAGTTAATGAAGTAATATTCTCTCCTCAGTTGGTAAACTAATAGTTATGAACTATTTTTATTTGAATAAATAATAAAGAACTATGTATTCCTAATTTTTCAATATTTCAGCTGCTAAACTTTTAATTTCATTTCAAAGTAATTCTCAATCAGCATATTCCATTGCATTTTGAGGTGAAACACTGCGGTTTTAGTTCAGAGTAAGGTGAAAATTAGCCATTCTTAATGCCATTTCTATAAGAAGCCAAATATTTTATATATTTTTGTATACCAAGCTTTAGAAAAAAAATGAGAGCAATATGAACACAAAGATATTTAAGTGCAATTGGAAGTAAATGCTGTTTGGTGGCCCAAATGCACTGTGGGTTGGTCTTAAGAATGATCCTTTGTGATCATGTTGTTTCTTCTTGCTACTCAGAATTTTTTATTTTCAAATGTAACAAAACAAATTGCATAAATTTCAAAATCAGCAGAGTTAGCAATTTTTTCAAATCTGCCGGGTAAGGTTTTAATAGGTGGTGATCTCATTCTTGACCTGTCATTTTTTCTGTCTTAAAGGATATTCCTACATTTTTCCTGATGTTATTTCCTTGATATATTAAACCCATTATTACACTATTGCACTGAGCTATTATTGTATTGAGAATAAGTCATTTGAATTGATCCTGAAGTTTCATATTGAAATTAACTTCCACGAGAGTAGAGTGATTAACTTTTCTTCCAAAAAAAGTTAAACTTTACTTTAAAAATACAAAGTACAACATTTATAATCATTATCAACATTTTTGATGTTCCTCTGGCATAATTCCCTTTCATATTCATGAAATAGTTTGTAAATTTGAAGAAAGCAAAAAAGGTGGGTGTTAAAGCAAGTAGCAGTAGTATTTCACTGCACGGTATAGACCAAGTTTGAGGAGGGAGGAGTGGTACAATATAAATAATTTCTGCTTTAGTGTGTGTAAAAATGTTGGACATCCGCAAGGTCATATTATCTGAATGAAGATATAATCAATGGTACAACCAGGATTTGTGTGAAGTGGGGAGGGGGCGGGAGACTTAACGTGTAGTGTCTAACCAACCTGCTTTTCTTGTAAAGAATTTTTATTAATACTGTGTTTACTAAATTTAAAATTTGTTGATTTATAGCTATATATCCAATATTTAATTGAAATATATATTATTGTTTCCCCATGTACTACATCCAGGTTTGTTCTTGTTCCTTAGTGATTTTCTTTCTGTCGCATTGTTTTATTTTGATTTTGCATAATTACCTTTCATGATTTTAATGTGGTGTTGAATATTTAAAAGTATTATGTGAATTTTGTTTCACATACAGTTATAGAAGAGAGTATGATTAACCATTAGTAATATTTGTAATATTTCTTGTTCTCAGTAGATTGTAAATATAAGAGAAAATATTATTATAGTTATTAATATTTTATAAGAAATAATAATATTTTAATGTTTTATTTTGTTGCAGTTCACAAGTTGTAGGTAAAACTAGGTGAAATGTAGAGAGAAAGAGAGCTATGATTCTGTTAATTTTTTGTTCTGGGATTTATTGTATTGAAATTCAATCACAATATTATTAAACTTTTGTTTATAATTTATTTTGATTATTGGAATTATTTTTGCATTGTAATGCATTGTTTCTGCACATGAGTATTGAGTACTCCGGAAAAAAAAATAAAAAAAATAAAGGAAGCTTAACTATATGTTGGTGTTGGGTGTAGGCATTCTTGAGTTTGTGAAAATTATTGTATTGTGTAATACACAATATATTCGTCTCAATAATTTTAAATTATATTTATTAATATATTGGTAATCTTTCCTACAAATCAATATCTACCCAAGTTATCGTCGTGTATAGAGATCTTGTGTAAATTTATTGCAGCAGTTCTCTTTTAAATAATGCCTCGGTGATAAGATCAAAATAGATATTATCAACTTCAACATGTTTATGATGTACTTACTGTTTATTTAATAACATGTCATGAATATTATATTTGAAATTAAATGTAATTTTATTACAAATTTGGAACAAATGATTGTTTGATAAATTACAATGCAAAAATGTGGGTTATTGTATCATTACTCTGGGAAGGACTTCTATATTGTAATAGAATATTGGTCATATGTTTACTTAAAAATCTCTAATATATAAGAACATAAATCATAGGCAGTGAAGTGAAATTACCATAGTAATAATTTTTTTGTCTTTCAGAATTGTGACAGAAACGCAAAAAACTTCAGTTTTTTAAAACCAACAAATTCTTATTTGTTCTTGTTAAATTTTATTTGTGTACCATTTACGGCAATCTCTGCTTGGAAATTATTTCTTACAGTGAATTAGTATATTTCATTCAACTTTTATTTGATTTGAATTTAATCATTAATTTGTGTGTAAATTATCCTGTATTTTACCAAAGGCTAACAAAATTATTTTGAATTTAGATATATAACTTATTTATGCATACAGTGGTGTCTCCTTTTTCTAAGTCTGTAGTACACTAAAAGGAGTATTTTAAGTGTATAGAAAATAAAATTGTAAAAGGTGAGGACATTGAATGTGCATGAACATGCTTCAAAGAACTAGGCTTTATTCCTATTTTCTGGTCTGTTTTTGTTAAGGCCACAACACATTTGTGCTTTATATTGACTTTTAAGGTTTGATATCAAGGAATTTAACCATGATGAAAATATAACTTTGTTGTGTGTTCTTTTTTCAGGCATTGATTATCTTCTGTGGTATTATTACTGGTTGTTACTTATGTTGCTGCTTCTGTTGTTGCTGCAATTTCTGCTGTGGCAAGTGCAAACCGCGACCTCCAGAAGACACAGGAGATTATCACACATTACATGTATGTACACTATAATGTATAAGTTATGTGATTATCGTTATCAAAACGTATGTTGAGAAAATCGCTGTATGAAGTGCTTGACATGACTCGTGTAGATTGTGAATTCAAAGCGAAGTTTGATGCAGCAGTCAGAGGTGTTAACTTTCATTTCTGCTTTTAACAGGGAGTCCTAAATAGAGCAGGCATGCTATTATCCTTGTGTAGGTTCGTCTAAACTTCAATAGCAATGTTTTCTCTCTTTTTGTAAAGATGTTAATCTACTGATGTGAGCATGGGGAAGTGTGACATGAAATAATTTGGCTTTGTGCTTGAAATTGTCTACATGGTTAACATGTACGTACGTCCTTCAGCCTAGTCTAGAAACTCTTTAAGTACTTGAAATTGACTTCTGATCTTTTTTGGAACTCCTTTGTTCCTACTCCTTTGCCAGTTTCCTCTTGAGAGGTGGTATAAGAGGCAGCTGTTAGCCTGAGGTTAGTGTATTGCAGAATGACTTTTAGTCATGCCACCTAGTAGTAAGTCAATTTGGTTGATTTCTTCAGAATGGAATGTTGCAATTATCACTTACTGTTTAGCATTGTTCTCATCTGGAGCTGAATCTGAATAAAGGTAATGTATCAGGAATTTTTTTTTTAAAGATCCGCTTGATGCATTATCAGTTTCCTTATAATAGTTGTTGTTATTAGTGCCGATTGTTGTTGGATCACACTTTCTTGTAATGCATATTTATACAACAATTTCTTAGATTAGTCCCTCCCCATAATGATTTCCACTGCCCTAAATATCTGAATCGTGCATAGAGTGAATATACAGTGTTCAAGCCTAATAGATCATCCACAGACTAATTTATTTATGTAAAACATTTCAAGAAATGTACAGCCCTAGAATTCTTTTAAGATTAAGGAAGAGCATTGTTACAACTGCTGAAACTGATCTTTTGATGCATGGCTTATGTTTCTTTTTTTAACCATTTGATAATTTTCTAAGAACCTAAATTTTCTCTGAATTAGTTGATCTATTAAATGTTTATATGTTAGGTTTAATTATATAAAATTCATTAATGATGTTTTTGATCGTGCTTGTCTTCCTTTAACATCTTTTTCTGCTAAATGTTGTTCTACTATGCATGTTCAAATGTCAGAACTACATAATCAATTCCCAGGTTCAATGTTCGTTCTGTAAGAGATAATAAGAATTTATTTCTGCTTAGTTGATATTTTTAGTTTTTTTATTAGAATTCATAAGTAATTAGTGATTTATGGGTGAGGATGTATGCGTTTTGCAGTTTGACGTGTGTTGTGTAAGCATGTGAAATGTAGGTAAAAGTTAAATTGCTTGTGCTAATGTACATGCATTAATAAGCAGCTAACTACCTTGCTTGCCTGCATGCAGACAAGTTATCCAAAACAATATCCCATAACTGGTTATTTTTAACATGTGTTCTTATTACTTATTAATAAAATTTCTTCTGAAATTTATGTATTCAGTAGTTTATTCCATCAATTCTTGCTTTTTATTAATTGTTTTATCTAAATCGTTAAAAAATGCTGTTCAAAATTTACCCATTGAACCTGATGAAATAAATTATTTTAATTCCTAGTAGTTTGTGTCAAAGCTGATTAGTTAATGTGGAATTTCTTTTTAAAGCAGCATGAAATATTTGTGTATATTTTCCTTAAATGTAGTATGATAAATTCTTTGTCTAATTTTAGTTAATGTGAATTAATTAAATTTTGTTGTTTCATGAGTAACTTTCTAATATCCAGTTGAGTATTGTGGCAAAATTAATTTGCATGGAAATGCAGGGAAGTAATAAAAGGTGAAATTCTATTATTCATAGTTTCCATAAGTAACTTTAAATTGACCTCTGGGCAATTTAGTGGCATTGTATGCTTAAATGTGGGTTGTAACAAGCAGAAAGAAAATCTGATTAACAGAACTGTTGGTTCGAAGTTGCTGAATTTTCATATGTGTTATTTATATCAGTTGTGTACTACAGTGAACATTTAATGAGTAATTAGCTTACTATTATGTACAGAGGTGCACCCGGGATTTTTTTTATGGGTAGTGGTCCACCTGACGTTTTCATATGAAGAATTTTTCATTAACTCTGAAAATAAAATGTTTTTATTTGTTAAGTTGTATAGAAAATTTAGTAAAAGCTAAAAAAATATGATCTTCTGGGGTGGGGGTGGGGGTTGAAGCCCCACGAGGACACCCCCGTGTGCCACTGATTATGTATCATACTAATATAAGTTAGTGACAATCTTCTTTGAAACTGTGCTTTCTGGTCTTGATACTGTTAACTTTTTAAAACTTTTGGGGTTTCTATAAATTACTTAATGCTAAGGGGGGAGGGTTTGAAATAATGTTGCACTGTGTTACATTGGGGTAGAGAGACGTTAGTTTAGTGTAATGTAATTGATATTTATTTTCTAAAATTTTTCAACATTCACTGAAATTACCTATATCTATTACATTCTTTTTATTCAGTCTTATACTAAAACATTAAAGTATTAACAAATTCATTTAAAAAAAAAATAAATGAACTAATTATGATGGGTAACTTGTTTCAATAAATGGAAATCATTTTCTTCAGTGGTTGATTGAACCTGTTAAGTCTACATGGAAAGTATTCAAAACAGAACTCTAGTATTTTCTAGAATCAAATTAAATTGGTGCAGTAGACTTTCACCTATGGGTCATTCCACATCAAATCTCACAAATTTAAGAAAAATTTGACCTTTGTCTTAGATTTTTAACCTTTTTTCTGTGCGAGTATTAGCAAAAATATGAATCATTAAATTGATATTTCTTTTACTTCACTTTCCAGAGAATATTGTTAATTGACATTTTCATTAAGAAATAAAACAATGTATTTTCTTTGTTTCTTCTACTGATTTTTATTATATCATTGTTGCAATAGTCCTCTTTTTAAATAATCAACAATGCTGAAAATATGAACCTAATGTTCTTCACATTATCATCAACCCATTTAAATAACTAATGGGTTCCTGTCAAAATTGAAGGCTAGCTTTTATTAAGAACGCTATAGATGCACTCCCCCCTTAAGTTGCAAGGTTCCTTTTTCATAAACGTTGCGAAGGAAAGAAATGCCATTCAGCACTCGTATTGAAGGCTTCTTTGCGGAAGTATAAATTTGCTTTGTTTTGTAAAACTAGGCACTCACTCCATCCCAAAAATAACTGTTAACAATGTTATAAACTTACTTGAGACGTGTTAGGATTTTCCATCGGAAAGGGTGAATTTAATTCCTGTCGTTTCAGGCATCCAGAAAATTATTTTTTTTTATTTCTAATTCTTTGCTTTATCTGAAGTATAGCACAAAAGGATGCTGAGTAGCTAAGACATTAATTCACAGCAGTCTCTGAATTACATCTTAAAGTACGAATAATTTTCTTAAAAAATCACTCTGGACAGTGAAAATTTCCAGAGTCAAATTTAATTTTTGTCTCATGACGAGAGCAGAATAAGGCAAACAATAGGCAAAGACAAGGTGATACATTGGTGTGACCAGGGTGCATGCTTATTCATCATTGTCACTGTCCAACACATTTGCGGCATTAACAAGTATGGTTGATTCTCACTTTCTTGAAAAAACTTCACTTGACTCATCACAAGAAGCAATTTTAAAAACTAGTTTTTCCAATAATATAACTTTTTTGACTGCAAACAATCACATTTCAAGAATGAGTGTTGTAACAACCTAAATGTACATTTCTGCAATTATAGATTTTCATATTAAGAAAACGCAATTAACAATAGTATTGATATTATTGTAAGGCTATCTGTGGTTATTAACTTCACAGAACAACGAAAGTGTTTCACGGATTCCTTTGTTAACGCAATTGACTTGTTATATCTGAGAAAGAAGGCTGTTGTTTCAGGCAGACCCTAGCAATGTCAATTGTTTATAAAATGAACTTAATAATTGCATTTTGTCAGACTTCCATTTGATACCGTAGGTGTTTCTGCGATTTGTAGCATGATGTGTGTCTCACGGTTGCCTAATGTTTCGACATCACAAGGCATCATGCCATTGACGCCCCTTAGTTGGAGCAGCGTGTCCGGAGGACAGTAGACTGCCTACGTGTGTAGGTGAACAAACTATATAACTTTAAAATGTTATTTATGTGTGTCCCACTTCAAAATTGGGCAGATCTATACATCATTACTGTAGAAATACACATTTACTACAATTAATTTGTGTCAGCCTAATGTAAAAATTTGCCTTTTAAAAATTAAAATATATTCTAAATATTTAAATATGTTTGCAAAGATTA